TATGGGAAACTTGTCAAAAAGTTTCGGGCATACAATCATTTAAAGAATAGCAGCTGAAATTTGTACCGGGGGGAGCGCACCGTCTGTGTAAGATGAATGCAGTATCGCTGCGTGGGACGGCTCTGTGGAGACTGGTATCAGATTGAACCTTGTTCCTGCGCCATATTAATAAACTGACATTGGTTATTTGGGCTCTAGAGCATATTGCATAACAAAATAAGGAACCAAAGTGTGGTCAAACGATACAATTTATCATCAATTCCAGGTAGTTAGAATCACCACCCATAGATATCGCTGCAGAGATCCTATGGCCCATTTTCCCTGGAAAACTTCTGATTTCTGGCACCCTGTGGAGTAGCATAAAGAGAAATGGTCCCTCGGCCTCCAGCACATAGCTCCGCCATGGCTCCCCTCCCCTGCCTGAGGCCCTTTCCCCATAGTGCAGGGGGCATGGGCGAAGTTTGGAGGACTATGGGAGACGCTGCCCCCCAAACTGGATATGTTGCTAGTGGGGGGGCACAATTTAAAGGTTCAGCTGCCCCCCTGAACAGCTCGAGTCACAGCCCCCACCCCGGGCAGGCCCCTCCTAGCCACAAGACACCCGGCACCGCCATGTACACCTGGGAAAGGGACAGCGATGAGGAGTCCTATGCCAGGAGCCGGCCCCAGACCCCCTGCTGGTGGGGTGGTGTCCGGCGATGGTCCCCGCCCAGGGCCAGAGGAGCCCAGTGTCTCTGGTGGGTGGCAGAGGGCAAAGCGGAGCTGCCGGGGGTGGGCGAGAAGAAGAGGCCAGCCCCAAGAGGAGGTGATTGCCAGGTGGTTGGAGGGTTCATGGCTGTTCCTGCTCCGAGCCGCCCCACCCCATGATCCGTGGCTGTTGGGCCCCCTGGAGTATCAGCCCTGCTGCCCCCCAGGGGCTGGGCTGGGCGGTGACACTCTGTTTCCAGCTGGACAATGCCGTGATTTGGACCAACATAGGTAACAGCCAGGCCTGGCACAAGTGCGTCCGTCTGCCCAGCACTGGTGGCCCCTGCATCGTTCCCGGGTGGGGGGTGCCTGTGAGGTGCACCAGGTTACTGGGGGGTGCCTGCGGCAGGGCTGCCAGGTGATGACAGGGTTTTCTGGTGTCCGGTTTTTGACCAGTATGTCCGGTCAAGAAGGGAAACTGTCCCCTGACCAGACACTAGAATTCCTGTGTAAGCAGGGTCTGACAGCTAGCTGGGAGGAGGAGAGACTTTGGGTGTGTTTATGTAAATACAGTTTGCTCCTGCTCTGCTTAGATATTGAGCAGATAGAGCGGTGTCAAAGTTGTACATTTTGGCTGGTGTTGGGTTCAAATCACTTTAGTGCTGAATGCAGCGGTAGTGAAATGCTGTTACCAAAATGTTGTAATTAGTATAGGAATACAGGGAAGCAGGACTGTGCTCAACCTGTCCCAAAGGAGTGTGGGGGGTCACCGTCAGCTGAAAGGACCTCGTTAAGCCAGAGCCCCGGCTGCCAGAGCCCTGTGAAAGTAAGAGGAGTGGGGACAGATATCCCAGAGAGGAGGTGTGGACTCTCCCGAGGAGTCCCAAGTCTGGTTTGACCTGTTCCTCCCCACTGTTCAAAGAAAGAGCTAAGTAGGCTTCATTGGGATCTTCTTTTGTTATTTTAAATGCTCCATCACTGAGCGCTGAAATCACTTGAGAGGGGGCAGTGTCTCTGCCCAGCCTGCAAAGAGCTGAAAATTAATAAGAGACTGATGTGCAGAGATTGGGGCGGGGGCAGCAGAAGATGACTGACAGTCAGTGGGTGAATGAGTGGCTGGTGAGCAGCCAGCAGGGTGGCTAGCGGAGAGGCGCAGCGAGCGGGCAGCGGTTCGGCTGGTGGAGAGGGGCGATGGACGAGTGCCCGAGCACCGGAGTGAGTAAGGTGCCTCCTTGAACTCTGCAGACGCACCTTTGAACTCTGGGTCTGCCCTGACCAAGGACAGCAACTGTGAGTGGGGCTCAGAGAAGGGATGGGCACGCTAAAGGGACTTTTGGGCTGCTGGACTTAAGAACCTGAGGGGAAAAGGCCACTGCCCAACTTACTTGGGGGTGGATCTGTTCCTCAGGATTTATGTTTATGAACCCTGTTTGTGACGTTTTCCCAAATTAATCCTTTTATTAAAAGTTTCTATCTTACACTCAGACTCTGTGCTTGCAAGAGGGGAAGTTTTGCCTCTCAGAGGTGCCCGGGGGTGG